CTGCTTTCCCTGTACTGGCTAATGTCCACCTTCCACTTGCTTTTTCAGGTTAGAAACTGGAGAGGCATCCTTGGTTCCTCCTTCTTGCTCCATAACCTGTGTCCCATTAATCACCAAACTTTGCCAATGCAACCTCCTAGGATGACTGAAACCCACCCCTCTTCTCTCCCAAGACCTTACTTGAAAATTTCTAATGGGAACCACTAGAATAACCCCTACATTTTGGATTTGTAAATTTAAAGAGGACATATTCAAAATATCTAAAAGGAAATACAATGAGGATGCACTCTCCTCCATATCTGCTCCAGCTTGTGCTGCTTTTTCCAAAGACAGTCTATGAGTGAAGAAATGGCTGATTCTAGGATGGAGGTAGGAAATATACAAGATGACTCTGGAGCCCTTGTCATGCCAGAAAGTAAGGAGGTGCTCAAAATACTCACCCCAACCCCTCACAGATAGAGGTATGTTAAAGGAGCATGGGAGCCTACTGAGAGAGTTCCCAATGGCCCAAACTGAAATGATTTGAGCAACAAAAGAAATGAAGTGGCGGGGCGCTGTGGCTTATGCCTGTAACCCCAATATTTTGGGAGGCTGAGGTGGGAGAATTGCTTGAGCCTAGGAGTTTGAGAGCAACTAGCGGACAACATAGCAGGGCCTTGTTTCTACATAAAAGGAAAAAAAAAATTGCTGGGTGTGGTGTTGCATGACTGTAGTCCCAGCTACTCAGGGGGCTGAGGAGGGAGGATCCCTTGTGCTCAGCAGTTTGATGCTGCAGTGGTGCAGTGAGCTATGATCACAGCAGTGCACTCCAGCCTAGGAGAAAGCAAGGCTATCTCAAACAAACAAACAAACAAACAAACAAACAAACAAAAAGAAATGAAGTAGGGTATGGTTTATAGTCTAAAGTGAAAAATAAGTATCTTTCAGTCCATAGTAGTATAATGAGTGAACAAATAAATGGGAGAAGAGACATATCTCCCATGCAGAATAAGTCCAAATAATTTATGTAGATACTCTGTCCTCAAAGAGGGGCAGCATAATTCCCCACCCCTTTGGCGTGGGCTAAGCATAGTGACTTCTTTCCAAAGTACACAGTGTGGAGAGGAGGAAATAAAGAGTAACTTACAGTGGAGAGTGGAGAGAGAAACTGACAAACACTACCTCAATCAAGTAATCAAGGCCAATATTAACCGTCGTAAATCATGTTGGTAGCATACACCCTTGATAGGATGTGATGAAAATGGCACTTTACTTCTGTGATCTTCCTTCCCCAAACTCATAATCTCAGAGTAATCATGAAAAAAAAGTAAACAAATTCTAATAATGGGGCATTTTACAAAACACCTAACCGGTACTCCTCAAGATTACAAAAAAAAAACCCAAAAAAATCTGAGACACCGCCACAGCTAAGAGAAGCCTGAAGAACATGACAACTAAATCTAATGTCCCAGAACCAGAAAAGGCCATTAGGTAAAAAAAACTAAGGAAATTTAAAAACAGTGGACTTTAGCTAATAGTAATAATGTATCACTATTGGTTCATTCATTGTAACTAATATATCATACTAATATGTTAATAATAGGGTAAACTGAGTGCAGTTTACATGGGAACTCTTGTACTACCTTCTCAATTTTTCTTTAAGAAAAATCTCATTACACTACTATGGCATGGTAGCTTACACCTATAATCTCAGCGCTTTGAGAGGCCAAGGCAGGTGGATTGCTTGAGCTCAGGAATTCCAGACCAGCCTGGGCAACATGGTGAAACCCCATCTCTACCAAAAATACAAAAATTAGACAGGTGTGGTGGTGTGTAACTGTAGTCCCAGCTACTTGGGAGGCTGGGGTGGGGGAATGGCTTAAGTCTGCCGGTCAGGGGTTACAGTGAGCCAAGCTTGTGCCATTGCACTCCAGCCTGGGCAACAGAGCCAGAAAAAAAAAAAAAAATCAGGCCTAAAAGAGAATAAATAATATCTTTATGTCTTTAATTTCTCTACATCTTCTACTGCTAACTTAACATTGACACTTTTGAGTCCCTGCTGTTTCAGAACTTGGGCCTTTGTCCCTACAAAACTTTAGATGGGTACAAGGAGAGAAACCTTAGAGAACAAACTACAGTGTGAACATAAAGAGTTCTTACATTAACAGAGTGTTAAATGCCACCACAGGTATAAAGCTCACACTAGTCTTGACACGGACTCTGTGACTTCAGAACTGCTCCCAGGTATGATATCTGAAGGTAAACACATCTACCAGGATAGCACGGAGAGCAAAATGCTACTCAGGGCCATTTGCAGCCCTCTTCACCATCTGTGTTCCCTTCCTCCCAACAGGAGAGCTGGACACTGGAAGTAAAGACTGTCCAGAATAGAAGTCAAACTACCAAGGAAAGCCAGTCTTCTCCAACTTCCAAAATTCACATTGGTATCAAGGCCTATCACCCACTCCCTCCAATGTGGTCAGTCCCAGTTCCTCTCATGGACTGTGGAAAAGCATTCAGATCTGGCTGAATCTTTACTTGTAATCTGACTTTCTACTTGAACTTGAACTTGGCTTCCCAACTTTTCTGTTTCTCAAAGAGCAAAGAAAAGTAGTTTCAGGAGAAATTTAGAATCTGAATACAAAACAAGTATGATTTCAACCTGTACAAGATGAGCCATTTATATGAACTACATTATAAATGGAAAGTTACCTAGGAAAATCCAAACATCCTCCTAATAATGTTTGTTATTAGGTCCCTCAAATTCCCTGAATCTTTTTTCCACAACAAAAAAGGGCATAAACAAATAAACAAGGTTACAGCTGTATAGAAACTGTGATGCCGGTGTTCAGAACGGGCCCCAGCAGAATGGTCCTCATATTTCTTTCTTTCTTTTCCTTTTTCTTTTTTTTTTTTTTTAAGATGGAGTTTCACTTTTATTGCCCAGGCTGGAGTGCAATGGCATGATCTTGACCCACGGCAACCTCTGCCTCCCAAGCTCAAGCGATTCTCCTGCCTCAGCCTCTCTACTAGCTGGGATTACAGGCATGCGCCACCACACCTGTCTAATTTTGTATTTTTAGTAGAGACGGGGTTTCTCCATGTTGGTCAGGCTGGTCTCGAACTCCCAATCTCAGGTGATCTGCCTGCCTCGATCTCCCAAAGTGCTGGGATTACAGATGTCAGCCACTGTGACTGGCCTGTTTCTCATCTTTCTTTCTTTCACAGAGAGCTAAAGAGCTCCTGCCACACAGAGGCAAACATGTTAAACTCCGGTACCCACTAAGAGCCATCTTCACTAAGAGTGACCTTGGTTCTAGGTGCTTCCACTCTGCGACTATTGCTGAAGCCCACACCTTGCCTGGAAAGTCAACCGTGGCAAAGCCCTACTGCCAGTCCTGCCAGGGGCTAGGTTGCGGGTGTTTCCAAAGGCAAGGAGCCCAGCCTTGAAACACTAAGCTCTGTAACGCATGCTCACTGTCCTTGAATAACTGACGCAACTCACTTATCTGACAGTGTCCCACAAAAACTGGAGGAGTTATCTTGAGCACTGTTAAACAGAAACAAAACCAAACCAGTTCACTTAGAGTTTCATATGTTGCCCTTTACCTTCTCAGATTTTATGTTGTACAAAGGGGTCTATAAGTAAAAATGATACAGGTCTGATCGATGAGTCTCTGTTTTTTTCTTTTTTTGAGATGAAGTCTTTGTCGCCCAGCCTGGAGTACAGTGGCACAATCTCGGTTCACTGCAACCTCCGCCTCCTGGGTACAGTGATTCTCATGCCTCAGCCTCATGAGTAGCTGGGACTACAGGTAAGCGCTACAACACCTGGCTAATTTTTTTTTTTTTTTTTTTTTTTTTTTTTTTTAGTAGAGATGGGCTTTCACCATGTTGGTCAGACTGGTCTCAAACTCCTGACTTCAAGTGATCTGCTCACTTTGGCCTCCCAAAGTGCTCAGATTAGAGGCATGAGCCACTGTGCTGGGCCTGATCAATGACAGTTTCTGATCTAAGGTTCCCAGCCCAACTTTACAGAAAAGATTATGAACACCAAAACACATCAATTTTAACCACAAATAAAATGCTATATACTTTACGTTATGTGACATATGTAAACCAAACCAGGGAATCAGTAACAAACCACATTTCATTTAGTAAAGCAAGAACAGAGTTGCACAGAGTGGGATAAAAGGCTCTGAGACTACACAGGAGCACCGGGACCTTTGAATAGTGTCTAAGGGGAGGGGCTGGACAGAGAAATGAGTGAAAGGCCAAGAAGAACAGCATGTGAGGCCTGGATCCAGTCTGAGCACAGGCTAGCTGGCCCATTTGTCAAAGGTGTCATGTATCACAAGAGAAACCAGCAGGGTGCTCCTAGTCTCCTGGAAGGTACTGGCTTGCCTGTACGATATGTATGGATCAGGCAGAGCACCACACACCTCCAAGTCTTTGAATTTCAGTTCACTCATTCATCACCCTTCTCAGATTTGTCAAGAAGTCAAAACTCAAAAGCAGTCATATACAAAAGGTAAAACCAAGAGATCTTAAAAGCAGTAATAGAAAAGTTTAGGCCATGAAGCAAGAAGAGAAGGCTACCTGATAAAATCTAGATCAGCATGTCTCTAGAACAGAAGAAACGAAACGGTGACCAGGTCAGCTGGCCAGCCCTCCCACTGTCACAGACAGATTTACTTCCACAAACCCTTCTCTTCCTCTGATTTTATACTCAATAGCCGAGCAAGCACATTACTAGTACAATTGGCTCAAGGAAGCACTCTGGAAAGAAACTTCTTAACAAACATTAGTCTCATATGAATCTGAGTGTTAGAAAAAAACAGCTTATGTTGCACAATCCTCACAGACGCTATACATTAAAGTTTCAGATCTTTAGATATGTCAGACTATCTTAGGAAGAAAAAAGAACAGGATGAGGGTTATCTACCTGTCTTCTACTTTCCCAACTGCCCACCATTGTGATAGTTCACTGTTAGTTAAACCAATAAGCAGAGTACAAGTACCTGATCGAGCAATGCCACTGTCCCTGTCTTCATTCTGTCCTCTGCTTGGCATATCAACTGGTGTGCTGTGTGCTGAGATAAAGGAACAAGGAAATCATGTTATCGGCCTCTTCAGAGTTAAAGTCTGTAAAACGACTACAGTAATTTTTACATTTCAAAGAAGGCTACTGCTACTGATGATTGGCATAAGCTTATAATAGAGACTAACCAGAAAGCAAAATTAAATATATAAAAAGATGGTGAGAAGAAAAGAGAACCAAAGTAACCATCTGACTGTATTCAATTGTAGCATATGAACTTTTTTGAGTGATGTTCAACTCTTAAAAACAAATGAAAGAATTATTATTTGAATAATAAATTATCTGAATAATAAATGATTTGTGCAGTTGATGCAATGAACGAACACTTTCAGGTAGTTTTTTAGTAGTAGTATTTAAATAGCAATGTCTTTTCAAAATGCTTTATAATCAGTTTTAGTAGTAACTGTAGGCGACTTAGGGAAGAGGAATACTTGAAAACCATTTCATAAATTCGAAAAATGTTTCTCTGTTTATAACCCACTCTCTTGGCAGATAGAAAACATTTATGTTCATTTTCAAATATTTCTTCCTCCATTTCTTTCCATATACACCCATACACAATATTATTGTAGAGTTACTTAGAAAAACTCACGTCCTGGCATGAATTTTGGAAAACACTCTGAAGTATTACAGACTTCTAGGAATGCTTCAGATTGGCCTAAGCTGTATACTTACTGAGCTAGAAGGCAGATGTGATGCTGCTGTAGTGAAGTTCTACCATGGACAAGCAGCCCAGTGCTCTGCCTGATTATTACACCTGCCAGCTCTTTTTTAAAGCATGTTTATTTTCACAGTTGTAAAGAAAGTATTTAAATGCGTTATCCTCACTCTAAGTAGGTGGGAGGATGTCAATTTCATTAGGGTATCAGCTAACTATGGTGCTTAGCATATTTCAGGCCACAAAGAAAAGAAAGAAAAATACCATTTGCTATACTCACAACTTTAAATGTTAGTAATGGAGGTTCCCCACAAGTTAATCATGCCAAGACAAGTTAAATCTCAGAGACACCAAGATGACTATACCTGTAAATAACCTAGAAATTGTATTTACACTACTTAATCGAGAGAGAGACAGAGAGAGAAGTCTTCCATGCTCTTATTAGCGTGACTTTTAAAGAAACTCCGTGCAGGTAAGGATGCAGTTGAATAAATGGGTAAAAGACACCAAGGCAAAGGGAAACATTTCATAGTAGCAGAAGAGGCCCAGAAAAACCAGAAAAAAAAAATCCTCTTAGAAATACTAAGGGCTCATTTCAGATTAAAATCGGCTTACACTGAGAGTATTAGTGAAGACATTTACAAGAGAGGTTCATTGGTGGAATTTTCAAAACACCATGGATTTGGCTGCATTTGAAACCAATATCTGCTATCACAAGAGCCCCTTGGATTTCTAGAGAGGCAGAAGTAGGATTTTTTTCCTAAGAACCTGCACAGGATTTATTAATGTGTGTGGGTCACACTGTACTCAGCATTCCACACAAACCTGCAAAGAAAGAAGCACTCCGGGTGAGCCGGAGAGGTCCTCCTTCAGCTACCCCCTGCAGCAGTTTGCTGCTGCATGCTTGTAGCAGACCTAGAGATGGAAACACATAGAAGAGGGCAAACAAAGTACACACACAAAAAATAAACATAGATTAAAGATAATGCAAAAAAAAAAAAATTCAAATAAAGCAAAACACACACCCACAATAGTGTTTTCAGAAAGAAAGAATTTGTGTGTCCGATTTTACCTAGGTTACTTGCAGTACGACAAGGACCCAAACTATTCTGATTTGTGTTCAGTTTTCCCAAATTAGGATCTTGGTTGATGTACTCAAAGCTGTCTTGCAAGCTGTATGGGGGGGGAGGGGGAGGAGAAAGAGGACAAAAATGTCAAGAAGCTACTAAAGCTGTTTTCTAATAGACTTGCAAATACAGACAACAACTAATCAGTTCCCCAATACTTTTCATATATCAAAGGGAATTAAACTTGCAACTTCAGGTGAATTTGTTGGAAGAAAACAAAAGCCATTTTGGAGGTAGCTCAACCCATGTAACTAAACAGCTGTACTTCTAATAATTTCATCTTATATAATAGACACCAAACTGTAAATTTTGCTTCAGTGACTGACCCTTGGGATACTGCTATTCATTTCTACATTTTGATTAAGCAACTGACACCCAACAAGTTGCCATCCATTTCAAGTATTTTACATAAACTCTCAAAATGAAATTAACTTTTACTTGTGGTTAATATCAATGAGCAATTCAGCAACTTTTTTCAGGAATAAAATATAACAAATTATAATTCTTACAGGAGTTTCATTTCACAACTTCTAAAAACAATTACTCATAAAAATATGAGGGAAGCAGACTTTAATAATTTGTTGTATTTATTAACAATTAAAGACTTTTGCTGTGTGTAGAACTGACAAAAACAATGACAAAAAGACCTTGAGAATAATACAGCATAATGAAGCCAAAATAATTTTTACATAAATCTGCATTTAAAGGAATTAATGCAATAAATATTCAGGTAATCTCAAGGGTCAGTTAAAAACAAATCTCATAAGAAATAAATAACAATTCTCATATTGGCTTAAGTCATGACAGTCCAATGTTAAATGCTCAAACTGTTTTGTTGAAGAGTAAGCCAAGACTCATTCAATGGTATTAAAACATATAGAGAAATATTCTTAATTTCCCAGGATAAGAAAAAACAGCTTTCACTTGACCCCTAAGAATGTCCTTTAGTTTATAACGAGCCTTTCTTTCAAATTTATCAAAGTATAACCTGTGCTTTCTTTTAAAAAAGGAAGTATATGAAATATTTCTACTTGAAAGTTCAAGATATATGAATGAATATGCCCAAATGAGTTTAAGTTATTAGATATTTCAGAATTCATTATGCAGAAGTGTAAAATCAGAGGAAAAAAGTTAGGAGTTTTTTAAAAAGTAAAAATATTACATGCCCCAAGTACCAATCAACCACAAAGGCTAAACCGACCACTCAGAATAGATGGCAAGGACAAACCAACCACCCGGTCACACAGGTGCTTATCAGACTGGAAAAACTCATTACGTACTTTATTCCTTCAGAAATAATTTGAGATAGGGTCTTGGTTTGTCACCCAGGCTGGAGTACAGTGGCACAATTACTGTTGACTGCAGCCTTAACCTCTCAAGTTCAAGTGATCCTCCCTTATCGGCCTCCCAAGTAACTGGGACCACAGACATGCACCACCATGCCTGGCTAATTTTTTTTTATTATCATTATTTGTAGAGGCAGGGTCTCCCTATGTTGCCCAGGCTTGTTTTGAACTCCTAGGCTCAAGTGACCCTCCCACTGGAATCCCAACATATTGGGATTCCAGGCATGAACCACCATGCCAAGATTTTTTTTAAAAAAAAGATAAAAGAATACTGGAAAACACAGTAAGATTATTAATGTAGCCCCTTCCCTTTTTTTATTTTTTATTTTCCAAGAAACTAAAAATTGGCAACTGGGTAACAGATGACTCATTTGTCTTTAGGGCCACCTAATAAAGTCAAAGGATTTTTCTCACTGTTTATAGGACAGTAGCCATTTTTAAAACACCTTTGTTAATTTGGACTTATTCTGCTTCTCATTTCAAAATGCCTTGTGACCGTTAAAGAATTACTCTTTCAAGAAATACACACTTTAAAAAAATGGGGTGGGGAGTGCAAAATCCTACACTTACTTATTTGTACTTCCACAGAAGCTGCCCATTCTAGCAGAGAAGACTTTACTAATCATCAGTTGTGGAGGAGAACTGGGAAAAAAAAGGAAGGAGAGGGGGAAAACACATTTATGAGTTAAGGAGTCAATACCACCATTGTACTTCTCAAAACTAGTAGAATAGGAAGCCTAGACTCACCGGATGTAGTGTATCTTTAAGGTGGAGCCTTTGTAACTCATTGCAACTGAGCCAAACATCATTTCCCCCAACATGTTGACATCAGAAGCTGGTCTTGTGTACTACATGCAAGAAACCGAAATCAAAGTTAGTACATGGAATGTGACATGCAATAAAACAGAAAGTAATGTTTATTAATATCATTAGTGTCATCGATAATTAAATCTATTTCTCAAAGCTTCAAGTGGTCATCTTACAATCTTAATTTATCATGGCGATTGCCTATTTGCCCCCCAAAGTATTACTAATGTTTGGGATTTCTCTCTTATACACAATATTGTCATATAGGAGCCAAGTGTTTTATCAGAGTTCATTTTTATTTTTGTTATGAGAAACAAAGATTACTATTATTTCTATTTATAAACCCTGAATAGAAGATTAAAATATGAAAATAACAGTAACTCTACTCTTGCTACTAAGAAAATATCCTGCAAAGAAATATGGTTCAGTATTATTCACCCAAATAATTAACAGTATGGCAAAAAAATGCCCATTGCTGCAGGTAGGGTTTTGTGAGGGCACAAAAGATAATAGATGGTCTGATAACCCTAAAGTTTTACAAAAGTATTTCAAAAACATTTGTCCCCTCCAGCTTCTGGCCAGTCTCTCTCATCCTTTTACCATCCAAAGGGTGGACTGCCTGCCTCCCCTTCCTCCACTCTCACTGGCTTGTTACTCTTAACGTCCAAACTAGTCCAGCTACTCCAGTGACGACCTCCTCCCTCTTAGTGAAATCCAATGGACACTTTCCAGTTTGCTTTATTAAACTTCTTTCAATATATCTGATGCTGTTCACGATTCTCCATTTTGAATCTCTTCTTTCTCAGATCATCCCTTACTGTGATTTTTGCCTGGAGGTCACCCTACTAACTGCCTGCATTTTCAACCATTCTTTTGATTTTGATAATTGTTTACATAGGATACCCCTTACATCTTTGTCCCTAGGCCCAGAGCTCTCCTGGAGATCTAGAACCCTATACCCCAATACATCCATTCACCTAGTGACATCTGAATGAGTGTCTTGGGATATAGGATTCTTAGTACCTATGCTAAGTGCTGGTGACACACTGATGAACACAACAGGTATGAATGCCGAGCAAATCGGCGAGCCACAGGGTGGCCACAAAGCAACCATGGTTCTGCACCTTGACGTACCAACTAGATTCTCTGTCAGTGTGCCTTCCAACCAAGGCAAAACACAGGAATCACCTTTAACATACTCTTCCAAATCTTTTTTAAAACTCCTAATACACACACACACAGACAGACATGCAAGTATACACACACTGACACACAAATACACACTTGCTTATACAAGGTTGCAGAGGCGGAAAGAGAAAGATAAATCTATCAGCCCTGTTCAGTTAGGTTCCTCTCTCTCGTTACAGCTCACACCAACTTCTTCCTACTATACACTGACAGAAACCAACTGGTTTTCCCATTCTTTATTACTAACTTCCACCCACCTCCCTCATTTATAATCTGCTTTTTCTTGGGGTACAAGGGCCACATGCCAACTGTGATTCTCAACCTGCTGAAAATTCTACTCTATACTTTTTAAACTGCAATCTGCTTTGAGACCCAGGCACACTATGTCTCAAAAAGGGCAAAAGAGTGGCACAAATCCTGACTATGAAATTAACAAAGTCCTCTGGATCCATAGCTGCTGCTAATTTCCCTGGTTCCAGCAAAACAGTAGACAAGATTCTACGAGGGCTTAAAACAAGTTCAATATATCCCCCATCAATTGATATCCTTCTGCCATTTAATATTTATAAAACATCTCTTCCTTTTTATCTTGTTAGCCAATATTTCTCAATAACCTTAACCCTTTCCTTACACATACACACACACACACACACACACACACACACACACACACACGAGTATAAAAAATGCCACCAGCCTTGTATCCTTCATACTCAAATTAGATCTTGCCATTTCTTTCCTCTTCCATACAAGGCTTTCTTCCTTTTACTGGCATGTTCTGTTTTCTTAGGATGCCCATATACATTCCCAGAATCCTTAGGAATTCTTATAACAAAACTGGAAAGTACATGTTTATTATTCTGGATCAGACAACAAAGGAAACAAAGCAAGGTAATTTGCCTGACTGGTAATATTTCTTCCTCATCCAGTACACAGTAGGCTGTATCACCTCTGCTTGATTACAGTTTTTATTGGAGATAAAAGCCAAAGAGCAAAAACAACATCAATGTGAAACATTTAAGAGTACTCTGTTGAATACTTGTCCTCATATTTCTGGAGCAGAGCCCTCAAGCAGGCATTACTTCCCAAGGAGAAATTATAGTTTAAATAACTTTAACCCCAGGGGCTATTCCCACAGAAGGGATGGCTGTACCTGGTACTTTGGAAGCGGCTCCTTCACATGGTGTGAAGATCCCCCGGAAGAACTGTGGGAAGAGATGAGGCTGCTGCTGCTGCTGCTGACGCTGCTGCTGACACTGCTGCTCCCCTGGCAGCACTTGGCTGATATTTTAATAGGGATATCTTCTGTTTTCTAGGTTGAGAGAGACAGGCAAGGCAAAACATTACTAAGTATATCAGGTTCATCAACAGTTCTTCATTGGGAATTCCTTTTTAAAAGCATTCTGGTGCCTAAGTTGCATTAAAAACCAGAAACTTTTCTTTTTTTCTAATAATGACAAAAATATGGTTCCTGAGAGTCTATAATGGAAAGGCAGAATGCTGAAGAAGGGTTCTAGACAAAAGGAGGTAGGTTATGTATTAAGACTTTATCCTCTTCTAATAATTAACTATTATTTATACTTCATATAATTGATCTCTGTTTTGGTTATTAGATTTTTGGTTATTAGCTTTTTAGTACTATGTAGAGTCATAATCCATTGAATTGGAGAAAGATGAGGCTTCAAATCTAAATTTTTACTAAGCACATTGAACTAATAAAACTATTAACTTGGACAGGCTGGCTTGTGTTTTTAATGACACACCTCCTCTGGTACTCCTTTAAAGGCAACAGGAAGGAAAATCATGAGGTTGAATTTGTAAGGGATGAAATCAAAACCCTGAAACAGGAGCTACTGTGAATTACATAGCATGTGATGGAAATACGGTCTTCAAAGGTTAAGGACAATAGAGGATTCTCCACTATACATTCCCCAAATAGAGTTTGTCACTAATTTTTATCACAGTGACAAAAGCATAAGGATAAACCTTTATTAACATTTACCTTCCCGTTGAATATATTACTCCCTACAGAAGCCTCCTGCACCCTCCATAAGTTGTTTCTATTCTGAGTCTTCTTTGCCTTTTTTTTCCTTGTGCAGCTTTTGCTTGGAGAAACATGAATGCAATTGCAGCTTATCTAATCTCCAGTGTGACAGTCACACTGGTGGTCTAATGCAAATGCCTACAGTCATGTGCTTGATACAAACTCATGATGTTTTGTGCTTGCCAAGAGAGGCTGGGGCGGTGGGGGCTGAAAACGGGAAAAGAATGTAAGGAAAACACAAAATGTGCTGGACCACAACCATCACTCCAGCAATGATGGCATTCAAAGTGGCACTTGGTTATTCCTGAGCATCCAGAACTCCCTCAACACTCTCTCAAGATACAGCTGTTACTTAGTATCACTTAAGCCAGAAACACAGCCCCTCAAAGGGCCGAAGTGACACAAGTCCCACCTGCCTCAGACTGATAGGCCCTTTGGCGGAGTACAACACGCTGAACAGTCTATAATTGGAGATGGCACCTGGTATGGTGAATAGAGCACTAACTGGATTCTTTTGTAGACTTGGGCAAACTACAAACCTCCTGAACCTAAGAGACCTTTTTGGTTAGATGAGTGCTTCTAAGAAAGCCTATGTTTCCAGATTCCAGCATGATCACTGCTGCAGTACACTGAAGATTCCAGTTCCTTTTGAAAACCTGTGTTTCTTTTCCGCTCCACCAGCCATCACTATAAGCAGTCCCAGTGATAGGAGCTCAACTAAAACATCCATGTTTGGCCTTCAGAGAAATGGGAAATAATTCAAGAAATCAAGAGGTAAACCATCTCCTGTCCACCAAAGGGCCAAGTGCTGGAGCACCTAAATTTCAGTTACAAAGCTAACCAGGAAAGCCCACAGTGAATCACCTGAGAGATTTCTTGGTCTCACGCCCCTCCCCTCCACCTACCTAACAAGCCCAACAACTACTGTAATGATTAGCCACCTGGCAGAACTCCACTTTAAAATATTGTAGAATCCACCCAGCTAAACTGTGTTTAACCAAACACTTCCTTCCTGCAGAAATGATCCTTATCAAAAGCAGGAAAACAACCCCTTGGCCTTGAAGAGACAAAGACTGTATTATAAACGTTCATTTACTTAGCTGCATATTCTACAAAGTGCCAGTATTTGGTCAGTATGGGTAGCAACTTATTGAACATAAAAAGAATGAATACAAATGGATTTATTTAATTTGTAGGCATCTGAACAAATATTGAAAAGAGTATGAAAGGTCTAAAGTGAATTTAGAAGTACTGTGGTCTCCCATCCAAAAAGACCCAGAAGAGATCAGACTCTTCTCACCTTCAACATGTTATTTTACCATTCCCCTTCTGGCTCCAAGGGACTAATAGCTGCTCTGTCCTCATTCTACCCATCCTTTGTCCCCCACCCCACACCACCACCACCACTACCACCCAACTCTCCACGGAAAAAAAAAGGGAGGGGGGAATAAATAAAAGCTCCCCTGGTCATAAGGGTTTGAGAAACAATCCTTTTGAAGGCAACGATGCAGATTTGCATATGGAAGGCACATAAGTGAGTAAGGCTGTGTGCTTTTGTTAACCCAGGGCTACTTATTTATCTATGAGAAACACTAGACAGAATGATATTCAGGCTCACACTTTTTTAAAATGAATTTTGGAGTTCTCCTTTCCCATTACATTTGAGGCACACACTTGCCATCAAAATCTTACTGGATTGTAACTCACCGGCAAATTTACCTCTAGTACTATTAATAGTTCTCTACTTAGCTCCTGTCATGATTACTTGCTAACGGCTTCACTTGTGTTTAGTAGTGAGCATACTCATACCTGTTGGGGATAGGGCTTTGATTATTCAACGCTTGCTTATGTTTCTTCTGAACCATGAATGGCACTGTACAATATAACTCAAAGAGAAGATTACAGATTAATCAATGATTGATCAAAGGGGTGGTTAAAAGCACAAAAGAAAAAGGAGAAAGCAAATCAGCATTTCATACCTGAGCTGTCACCTCTTCAATCTTTTGAACAGCTTTAGAGTCAAACAAGACTTGTCTGCCTCTCCTTTCACAGTCCTGGTAAACTATCAGGCGAATCTCATTCAGGTCAAACTCCGAACATGACCAACTGTGGATTAAAAAGAGAGAAAGAAGTTATGTTATCCACAACACGTGAGATGATCACGGACAGATAAGCTTCCCAGTCACCATGCCTGCGTGCACATCAAAAGGTCACAGCCATGCAGGGATAGTGATCCTCTCAGAACTGGGGCACCAGTGAGCCTGGGACAGATAGCCTTTTATGTGGATTCCAACTGGCCATATGAAAATTGCCAGTTTTCATGATAAGGGCAGAGAAGACTGCTTTAAATAATAAATCACTGGAGAGAAAGCTTCTCCTTCCAAAGCCAGTTTGGACACAGATGGCAGTCAGAAATCACAGGGACATGCAGAGAGGGCTAAATTTGGATGCCTGCGTTCTGGGGACAGCATATCGGAGTTAAAGGAGTGTTAAAGCTTCTGTGTTGTTGGTTCAGGAACCAATTGGAGCAAGCTGGTAGAGCCTTCTCTTCCTCTCTCCCACTCACCCACACTGAGGTCAAATTGAGAGGAATTACACACTCTAAAATTTATTATTTTCCCCGATTATGGCTAGCTCTAATACAGGAGTTTCAAAAGCCAAGTGCATCACTGTAGAGTATCAGAATTGCTAGCAATTATAGTCAGCAAGAAGGGAAGCATGTTTCTAAGCAAACCAAAAGCAACTGGGATAAAACTGCTCTGAGGAAAACATAGGTTCTTTCTTAGTAAATGACAGAGTGAGGAAACTATAGAAAAAGTAATCATTTAAAAATGCACAGCTTTGGGTAGACTCAGTTTTTGACCCATCAGTCCAGTCAACACGTATTTGAGTGTCTGTGATGTTCCAGGCGCTGTGGTTGCTGCTGGAGACTCAGCAGTTAATTAACTGGAAAGACCTGGTCCCCGCCCTAACGGAGTTCATGGTTCAGTGGGGAATATTAGGCAAAGAATCACAGATGAATGTATCACTACAAACTGTGAAAGTACAAAAAGGAGCAGTAAACGGTTTCAGATTTCCAGACTGAAGAGGTGGGGAAGAGGGACAGGGAAGTCTCTAAGGACTTGAGGTGACATTTAAACACAGACCTGAAGAAGTAAAATGGATGAAGTGCACCACAGGAACAGTGAGGGACGTGGTAAGGTCTAAGACTGCCGCACTGGAGAAGGCAAAAGACAAAGACCAGAGAGCAAGTGCTGCGAGGTGGAAAGGACCGCAGGCGGGGGCCAGGATCATGCTCTCCCTCCTTGAGAAACCAAGGAAAACAGATGCTTGATAAGATCAGGTCTGCGCTTTTTGAAAGTTCAATCTGGCTGTTAAGGAAAACGGGGGTGGAACAGATGAAGACTGGAAGCAGGAAGGCCAAACATAATTCATAATTAGAGTTCCAGCCCTTCATAATGAAGGCTAGAACTGCGGCGGCAGAGGAGGGGAAAAGGGGACCGACTGTGGTGGCATGCTCACAGGACAGAGCTGAGCCGGTTTCCCAATGGACTGGAGAGGTGCCCAAGGTGAAAGGCAGCCAACTGGTTAGAGAAGCCGAGGGGGAGCTCTGAAGGGACAGAGGAGGGCAGACAGACAAGCAGACAGACATACAAATGCAAACTGTAAAACTAGGAGGCAGTATAAATGAAGTCAGACACATCTGGATTAAAATCCAAATGCCTCCGGCCTTCTAATTCTTCATCAGTACAATGAGAATGTTAAGCCTGCCCTTACAAAGGCTGTATGGGTTAAATGAAATGCATAAAGTGTTTCATACAAAGAGTGACATACAGTAAGTGCTACAAAATGGCAATCATTACCTCAGAGGATTTACTATTATGATTTTTAAAGAAAATTAATATAGTGTCTGATAATCACAAATTGTGCGTTTCTGGTCTTTTCCATTTTCAGGCAGTTAATACTGAACATGTTCTTTTTGGGTAGCAGATTTGTTTTCTTAAATCCCTACAGCAAAACATATAAAGTTCTGGTTGCACCTTCTTTCAACAAGCTGTGTCCTAAACTATCGTGCCCAGCATCCTTTCTTCCTAATTTTAATAACAATATGGCAAGTTTATTTTCAAACCATATTCCCCCTACTCTCAGTCCAGAGAGAGTCCATGTTTCAGGTCTGGCTAATGAGACATGGCCATATGACCCAAGCTGGCTGTGTGAGTCAGACCCAAAACTCAGTTGTCCGGCTCGTAAGTAGTAATCCTGGCATTGGCAGTGGCTATTTTTGCCATCATGAAGTAAGGGCCTGTCTGAAAATGAAGTCAGCATGGAGGAAAGCAGAGGTGAGCAATGGAATGAAACAGATTCCTAGCAGCACCAGAAGCCAGTTGTTCCTGAGTAAGTACTATTCCTGGAAATAGTTCACGGTTACTTACAACCAACACAGTCTGATGACTATGACTCAGACCACTGAATTTTAAAATTACAGAAGGCCGAGGAGGGCGGAACACTTGAGGTCAGGAGTTCGAGACCAGCCTGGCAAACCACGGCCAACACGGTGAAACCCAATCTATACTAAAAATATGAAAATTAGCCAGGTGTACTGGTGGGCACCCATAATTCCAGCTACTTGGGAGGCTGAAGCAGCAGGATCGCTTGAACCTGGGAGGCAAAGGTTGCAGTGAGCCAAGATGGCACCACTGCACTCCAGCCTGGGTGACAGAAGGAGATTCCATCTCAAAATAAAAAAAATTACACAAGATCATTAAAAAGGCCCTGAAACTATATATTATCATAAAATAGTACATATGTTGAAGTTGTTAAAAGTAAAAAAAAAAAACAGAATTGCCTCGCATTTTCTTTTCCATTTTGCCCTAATAATTATATTTTACCAAGACAGCATAATTTATAACCAAGTTGTTCAATCCTCATTTTTGAAGAATAACATGTATTCAAATATCAAACTGAAAACAGCTAGTATAGAGGAGATAAAATTTAATAATGATCATAACACCTTATTAAATGTTTCATGTTATTTTTCAATGAAAAAAAGATGGAAATAAAAATCATGGAAGATTGTTCTAATCCAGGAGTCTAAAAATAATCTTTTTTTGAGACAACAGATGCTGGAGAGGATGTGGAGAAACAGGAATACTTTTACATTGTTGGTGGGAGTGTAAATTAGTTCAACCATTGTGGAAGACAGTGTGGCAATTCCTCAAGGACCTAGAAATAGAAATTCCATTTGACCCAGCAATCCCATTACTGGGTATATATCCAAAGGATTATATATCGTTCTACTATAAGGACACGTGCACACGAATGTTCACTGCAGCACAGTTTACAATAGCAAAGACCTGGAACCAACCCAAATGCCCATCGACGATAGACTGGACAGGGAAAATGTGGCACATATACACCATGGAATATTACGCAGCCATCAAAAACGATGAGTTCGTGTCCTTTGTAGGGACATGGATGAACCTGGAAGTCATCATTCTCAGCAAACTGACACAGGAGCAGAAAATCAAACACTGCATTTTCTCCCTCATAGGTGGGTGTTAAACAATGAGAACACATGGACACAGGGAGGGGAGCACTACACACTGGGGTCTGTTGGAGGGAAATAGGGAAATAGGGGAGGGACAGCAGGGAGTGGGGAGTTGGGGGGGGATGGCATGGGGAAAAATGCCAGATATAGGTGAGGGGAAGGAAGGCAGCAAATCACACTGCCACGTGTGTACCTATGCAACAATCTTGCATGTTCTTCACATGTACCCCAAAACCTAAAATGCAATAAAAAAAAAATCTTAAAAAAAAAATCTTAATTTAAAAATTTTAAAAAAGACAGAGGGGAAAATATGTATTTCAGATTGTCTCATTTTTTAATCTAAATGCTTTAGAAGTATTTTATAAGATATGAGTGATAGACACAGTGGCTCGTACCTGTAATCCCAGCTACTTAGGTTGCTGAAGCAAAGAGGATCAGTTGATCCCAGGAATTCCAGACAAGACTGCACAACATAGCAAGACCCAGATTCTTTAAAAACTTGAAAAAAATTAGCTGATTATTATGGTATGCACCTGTAGTCCCAGCTACTTAGGAGGCTGAGGCGGAAGGATCACTTGAGCCCAGGAGTTCAAGGCTGCGATGAGCCATGATCACACGATTGCACTCGGACTCTAGCCTTGGTGACAGAGCGAGATCCCATCTCTTAAACAAACAAACAAACAAACAAACAAACAAACAAAAAAATGGTCAGGTGCAATGGGTCACGTCTGTAATCCCAGCAATTTGGGAGACTGAGGCTGGTTGATCACTTAAGCCCAGGAGTTTGAGGCCAGCCTGGGCAACAGGGTGAAACCTCATCTCTACTAAAAATACAAAAAGTTAGCTGAGCATGGTGGGGCACACCTGTAGTCCTAGCTACTGGAGTGCGTAGGCTGAGGTGGTAGAATCACCTGAGCTCAGGAAGTCGAGGCTGCTGTGAGCTAAGATCACATCATTGCATTCCAGCCTGGATGACAGAGTGAGACCGTATCTCAAAAAAAAAAAAAAAAAAATTAAAAGAATTTTTTAAAAAAGAGGAAAACTCTCTTCTTCTTCCATATGAATACTCTCTTTGATTTAATACATAAATTTAATTTCAACATTGACATTTCTTTTCTTTCTTCCTTTTTTTATTTTTTGGAGACAGGGTTTTGCTCTGCCACCCAGGCTAGGTCAGCGGCACCATCTCAGCTCACCGTAGCCTCAACCTCCCGCTCAAGCAATTCTTCCACCTCAGCCCCCCAAGTGGCTGGGACTACAGGCATGCACCACCATGCCTAGCTAATTTCTTTGTATTTTTTGTAGAGACAGAGTTTTACATAGTAAAACCCTGGACCAATAAGGAGCTGGTCTCAAACTCCTGAGGCTCAGGCAATCTGCCTGCCTCAGCCTCCCAAAGCGCAGGGAGACACTGACATTTTAATGTTAGCAGAGGAAAAAACAGTTGCATAATTTGTTCAAGGAAATAGAGGCAGAACAAAGGCCATTAGTGCTTCAGAATGAGAGAGACTGGGGATCAAATCTCAGCTCTGCCTCCCACCACTTTTATAGTTTTGGG